TGACTGATCACATCAAAAGCTGGATACATGTTGAGGATGCATAATGCAAGAAGTAAGCGTTTCTGAAACAAACCAAACTCCCCGATTTCCTTCAGGATCTGTCCAAAGTTGCTCATAGCGATGCGTGGCTGAACTTGCAGAGACTCTTCATGAAAGTGCAGCGTGAGCAAAGACGCATAGGACATATCATTGGAAGTAAGCTTAATATTTAACTAGGCGCAGCAACGTGAAATGCATTTTGTCTTATATTAAGAGCAACAGTTGTCCCCATTATTGTATCCTCAGGCGTAACCGCAAACTGAGGTCGAAACCATTTCACTTCTGCAAAAATAACAATTTAGCCAGCCCAAATATAGAATCAAAAATTATGTTACCTATATGGTGCTTTTATGAGCCCATTCAAGAGATCTGTCTGTTGTTTTTTCCTGTTTGTTTTCATACACTTGTGTTTGTTAAAGAAAGTGCGTGATATCCCCTCCGGCTGTGTTTTTGGTTGCGCCCATGAAGCAACAGTAAACACAACAGCTGGGAGCGCAGAGCCAAAATTTCGGGATCAACCCCAGTCTGTGGCCAAATAGTGTTACGCCACCCCCAAGTATCAATGCTGCTATTTATTGACATGTCTGTCAAGCTACCAGTGTGGCTCAGGAAGATCTGAAACCAGCTGGATTAATGTGTAAATCCTATAGTAATGTTTTTCGATGTCACTGAAAAGAATTCAGAATTTTGCAGAAACACTATTAGACCTACTAAAGCGCTGTCTGCTGCCCTCAGTTGGCTGTGTGTAAAATGTTTTACAATGAGATACATAAATTTTTCGTTACATTAAAAAGATGAGTGCTTCTTTCAATTAAAGCCGCTGTGCGCATTTACGCAGGAGGCGCAGCGGCGGTAACTTCACTGACACATGATGTGATTGTAAATAATGTTCTGTGTTCTTCTACACACCCACCAGGTCAGTTTTTTCCACACAAGAGTCCAGATTTATAAGGTGGAAGTATTTGTATTAAAGTTTCTCTTCAGAATCCTTCTGTTTTCGTATGGATAAGCCTGTCATTACGCGCAAAAGGTCTTTTTAGCAGCTCAAATAAAACCTGGGTCCTCCCCGAATGTTTGACTGAAAATTACATCTTTGATCATGCCAACAATAAAATCAGAGAGAGAGAAGACAATAACAATGAGCACCGACAAGTAGAATGACAGTAATTCAACTTTAAGCACAATACAAATCAAACAGGCAGCCACTACAGAGGAAACAGAAATAAGCAAATGTTATAACAAGGGATGAAAAAAAATCAGATTGCCAACACTAGTACAGACTTTTGAGAACCTGAAAATGTAAAACTTTTTAGCCCTTATGTTGTGTTCCAGTCAAATATGACCAATTTAAAAGTTTAATCTCTGAAAAAGTTAATTTGATCAGACTGACCTAAGATTGTATGACTTTGTCTACAAAGAGGATTTTAACACACAAAATAAATTACATTAACTTGCATGCAATCTTTAGTGTTTTATTCAACTTTTGTACACTGTTGGTGTTACTGGTCAAGAATGACCGGTCATTAGAAATTAATGGGGGAGACCACAATTAGTGTAAAAAAAAAAAAACTGAGCTCAGATACATCCTCATTTGTCAGATGGAAACACACACACACACACACACATGCACTTTGGGTTCCCTGGCAACCACTATGGGAACCTTTGCCCAGTAGAGTCTCTCGCCCACAGGAACAACAAGTGCTGGCAGGCTGACAGTTGCAACATACATTCAATGATGTTAAATTTTCTCATAGTTTTGCTATGTAAGGCCTTTCTGAGGCCTTGCTCACAGTTCATTGTGTTGCAACATCGTGCCAGGTCGATATACTGGAAGTGAGGCTCTTGATCATGTATTTGATCACCACACTGGTGAGGAGGAGAGAGGCCAGGAAACTGACAGTGAGGACAGATTAGAGGAGGAAGTGTCAGAAGCTGAAGATGATACAGTATATAATCCAGACTGTGGTGTGGATGGAGGTGAATCTAGGGTGAAAGCAGGGGGAATTTCAAGAGGAGGCTATTCCTGGAGGAGTTGGGGAAAGCCATGCTGGCACCCCACGTTCAACAACGCCAACACCTTCCACGAACACCAGCCTCTGCAGGACTGTTGAGAGAGAAATAAGGGTGAGGAGCAAGATCACTTGCTGCAAGAAAGAGGTGATAAAAGAAAGAGGTGCAGTCTGTGTGCACCAAGAGACATGAAAACAAGCATAATGTGCCAAAAATGCAATGCATATAAGTGCAAGGCACATGCAACAACCTGCACATATTGTCCAACATGTGCATGAGAAAAAACACCACTGAAGTTTGAGTTAACCTCCTTGAGTTAACTCAAGAAGCCTGATTTTGTTA